CCAGGTGAGACCAGGTGAGACCAGGTGAGACCAGGTGAGACCAGGTTCCAGGTTAGACCAGGTGGTTTCTGAAGATAAACCAACAAATGTGGAGCTGCCACTCAGATTTCACATTGACTGACAAATATTTCACTTAAAGACAAGTTAACCTTTGAGAGGATTTGATGAGTTGATCTAAGATGTTTTTAACTTTACCAAAGTGTTATTTTTTTAATTATTTGATTTGTAACGAGGAGCATCGACCTAAAAACAAAAACAATAAAACATTTCGTAAAATAAATTAGTCCAACCACAGGTCTCGGTGCAGAAAAAAATCGAATGAGGAACATTTTGAATTGGATTATGAAGCTGGTTCGGGCTCCCCAAAGCGGGCAAACATCTCTTCAACCAGTCTCTTGGCGGTCGTGGAATTGCTTTGGTCCGGCTCCACGTGTGCCTCTGGCCATTTTGTAAAGTAGTCCATGGCCACAAGAACACGATCGCCAGAGTCTGTTACTGGGAAAGAACCGAGGATGTCCACCCCAACTCGTTCTCCACATGACACTTTAATTGGTGATATGTCACTTTTAATCTATGCTGCTGATTATCCCTGCTGCTGATCTCTTGCCTTTAAGCTGCTGTATTCATACCCATCTGCTCACTACAGACTCATGTTCCGGCTGCTGTTTTAATATAGTTATATTACATTATTATTGTTTAGTGCATATCTTACATCCTTGTCAACTGTTTCTTTTATATTTTTGATATATTTGGGTCTAACTTGAGTAAATAATTCCATTCCACCTCGTGTGCCACATGAGATGCGAATGACAATAAAGAACCTTGAATAATACGCTGCGTTCATGGAGCTGCTTTCCTGCACTTCCAGAGGTTTTCTGTCCAGATGTGATCCGATCCGACCCCACCTGTCCGAGGCTGACCCCCAGCGATTCAGGGCGCTCTGCTGCATGAATAATTAGCTATGTGTTCAGAAGGGCCCCTCCCCAGGCTTCGTGCAGAGGGACACATTATCCAGGCTGGGCGTGTGGGGGGGTGGGGGTATCGGGCCTACAGGAGCTCAGCTTGCTTCGAGGTTTAATAAGATACTTTTCAGCTCCGACATCTGCACGTGATAAGCTTCCTGCACGACTGACGGCCATGTTGTTGTTGTTTACTGAACAAAGAAATAAGAAAACTCGATCGTTTTGGTGTTTGAAGCAAAAAAAAAAAAAGATCTCATCATTTCCTTTTATAATGATGCTTCAGCTGTCGCACAACAAGACACCAGCAAGAAGATCTGTAGATGAACAGATGCTGGGATATATTCATCATTTAACGCGAGTTCCTCATTTTTCTGGACTGAATAAAACGTGCACTGAATTTAAGGAAATGCAAACGGGAGACGTCATTTAAATTTGACCCATCAAAATGAATGCGGTCATTTATTTACAGAATCAAATTTAACATCAAACATTTACATTAATTTGGCAAATTATGAAAATAACAACAAAGCAATCAATCAGGAAAAATCATACGGCCATGATTTCTCCGTTGCTGCACCAACAGACATTTATAACTGTACAACTATGATCTTTTACCCACATGAATGTGGGTAAGCACTTTACACAGACATTTCTAAATATCTGGGAGAATTTCTACTTGATAGAAAAGTTTAAGATGAAAGATGAAGTTTAAAGGGGAGAAAGATGGTGTTTGAGGTAGAGTGTTGAACAGAACGGCACTCTCCGGGCTTTCTTCAGCTTTTCCTCACAGTACACTTAGGTGGTGAAAACGACTCTTTTACCTGGAGATGTCTCAGGCGAGATTCCGTTTAACGCACCCTTTCAGCGTCTCCGTAGGATGCTGTTACTCGTCCGGAGTAGCGGCGAGATTCTGTCCGCCACAGCTCACCTCAGTGGAAAATGTTATAATCCCATGGAACTCGGAAGAGCTTCGTTGTCATGTCAGGAACTCCAACAGCACTCCATCAGAACTCCAGAACTCTAGAAGTCTGACAACTCTCCAACTCTGAGTACCTGTGTGTCTCTCCGTGTCCCTGTGAGTTCGTGTAAACCAGGAAGTACTGACATTTTAAAGGCTCTTTCCCGGTTCACTTTTTGGGATTTTTCATTGGTCAGAAACGACCAGAAGGGGTGTGTTTTTGTGACGTAAGGGGTTAGAGACAGCGAGAATTGTTATGAGACAGCTCAGAAATGTTCTCACAGACCGAGAGGGTTCTGTTTTGGCGTGCCTAAGACACAGGTGCAAAACATCTCTATTTACGTCTGAGAGGATTCTAAAACATGACAGTTTTAACATAACAACTTGTTTTTCGTTTGACTGTAACCTTGTAAACGCACACACTTGCTCATTCAAAAGCAGAAATCAGAAAAATGCATAATTACTCTGCACAGCTTTTAACATGAGAATAAAATCCTTACTCAGTTAATAAAATTGATTAGTTCACTGCAACATCTAAAATGGTTTGAACTAAGACACTTTGATTATCAACATTTGTAAGATAGTAATGATAATAAAAAGAGAGTGTTCTTTTCACTTGAATCTTCAAGAAAGAAAGTCTCAGGATGGGTGAACCTGTATTTATGGAGTCAAATACATGAAATGACAGCTTCTGTCCCACAAGGTTCTAAAGGTCAAGAGTTTTGACCTTAGACTGGGTTTCGACGTAGGCTTAGTCCACTACAGATCAAATGAGCTGCATATTTTCAGAGGCCATGAAAGTAATAAGAAATGATAAATAAAGATGCTGAGCAGGAAATAAACTAGTTTCTGAACAGCTCCTGCGTGATGATCAAATTTCAATGAGCTCATTTAAAAGTTTTAGCTCATTTAATCCTTCAAATGTCATAAAACATGTAAGACTCTTCCGTGTCTAACATTTTATCTGTCAGATGTACAGACTGATGTTATTAATGCCAGTAAACAAATAAATATACAATCCAAATTAAAAGCATCAAGACTGATCAACTAATTTACTTCTTTCTTTACAGCAAAAGGACAAAATGTACAAATATGACTCACGTGTTCATAAAACAGAAGCAGCTTTACAGAAGAGACGTTTTAACCAGATTCACGTTTAACCAACATTTACATAAAGGTGTTTGAACCTGTTCCGGTTCTGGTTTCAACATCAACCTAAAAAGTGTAGCTTGTATTTTTATTTATTTACAGACGCTTCAGCCGCGACGACGAGCGGATAAAGTTCACGGAGGTTCAGCTTCACTGGATGAACGTGAACTGATTCGCTTTTGGAGTCTAACTGATTCAAGATGGCCGCCACAGCCAATTAAAGTCAGCAAACACAAAAATAATAATCAGGACACTGATCAAACAAAAGAAATGATGAAATGTCGTTAATGGTCGAGTAAAGAACTCGCAAAACAAACTCTTGTCTTTTGGTTGAACAAGCAAAGTTTGTCTGACGGCAAGAAGCAACGTCTGAATGTTTCTGTTTGAGATGAAGGACGCTCCTTCCTCCTCCTCTCACCTCCTCCTCTCACGTCCTCCTCTCAGACTCACACGCTCCTTCCTCCTCCTCTCTGACTCACACGCTCC